AGTTTGAAAGGATCCAGCATCCACAGCCTTTTGGGGGTGGTACAGAGTTCCAGATATCCACTCCCCTTTGCATGAAAAAATTGCTTCCAATAAAAAATTTGATTTAACAACAGCCCCTTGCAGTCAGGCCAGTCCTTCCACTGCAACCATCCAGTCCTACCCCAATTTCCTCTACGTCTTTGTAATACTCCCCTTCAAAACAGTGGCAAGCTGTGTGGTTTTAGCTGGTTAGACTCCAGCAGTTTCCCCCAATGCACACTCTGGGCTCTCCCCCCCCCACTCCCCCCCCCCAGCCTTGGCTCTCGCCAACCTGCGCCTAATACTCTCCGGAATTAGGTAACTAGGAAGAGTCCTTCCAGGGAGAGAGAGAGAAGAGCGCATTCCATTCCAACAATCTATCTCTGGGGTCTCGATGTGTAGGTGGGACGCGTGGAATTCTCAGCCTGGTTTGGAGACTCTTTATATTATTATTATTAAGTATGGAAATGGGTTTTCGCATATGTCAGACAGACACCTACATGACCAAAGAAAAATTTCAGCTCTCAGAATTCCTTGTGGGTGTCTCGTCATGTCTTTCAAAAGACCTGAATTTGAAGGATAAAGGGACCACCATCAGTTTTTAAGCCTTCAGTCTCTCTCAGTTTCAGTCTAATTTTTTTTTCAGCGACAGTATAAAAGAGGATATAAACCACTCACTCACCGGCTACCAGAATAACAGCAAAGAAAAGCATCGTCAGGTCTGATGCTGGCATGAAACTTGAGGCGCACACGACAAAGTGAGATGGCGGTTCCCTTGCTCTTGTGAAATACCCTATTGTTTACTCTCCCCCGATGACGGGCTCCTTCTGTGATTCTGGAAACGGACCCTGCTTCCTCTTAAATCAGGCGTTTCACAACCAACTGCAAATTCAGACAATCAGCAGGAAATATCTTGGTGTGAAATCGCCTTATACCTTACGCTGGGACCAGCCTCTCAAACCCACCTGCTCCCCCATTCTATGAAACCATGGCCGATCAGTACCTCAGCTCCATTCACCCTTTTCTCCATCTATAATAACAACAATAATAATAATGATCCTTGCATTTGATATAGTGCCTTATCATGTCGTCGAGGCATCTCAAAGAGCTTCGTGATTAAATTTTAATGATTAAAATACCATCAACAAGGATCAGTGTAAATTGTGAGACAAATGGGCCGTATTATGAGGTGTGTGGGGATGAGGTTCAGTGTCTTTAACCACACGGTCCCTCAGCTTCTGGGTCAGAAGGTTGTGGGTTCAAGCCCCACATTGGGATTTCAACCCACATCATCCAGACTGACACTCCAGAGCATTGTTGGGGAGGAGAGTTGTATTGTTGGGTTTGAAAGGCACAAGAGAAATGTCATTTTCTGTCGTTAAGGACATTAAAGATCCCACAGCGCTACTTGAAAAGAGAAGGGAGTTTCCTCACTCTCCCGGTGTCTGGGTCAACAATCCCCCAAAGAAAATCACTCATTCAATTCATGGCTGTTTGCAGCTTTGTCACTGTGTGCAAATTGGCTGCCGTGTTCACCTACAAAAAACACAGTCACTGCACTTTACAGTGAATCCTCTGTAGCTCTCTGAGACGTCCTCCCGATTTGAAAGGTGCTGCATCAAACATTATTGTAATCCGCAGGAGACTTCAGAAAGACAACACTCACCGACCGCAGAAAGGATGATAAACAGCGACATCGTCCTTCGAGTGTGAGGGGAGTTGACGGCTGAATGTGTCTAACTTTCCAAAAGCGGCCCCCAAAATGATCGATCAATGTATTTCAGCAAACCTCCAGCCACGCACAGGGTAGGTTGATTTTAAAGTCTCCTCCGAAGGCAATGCTGCTGTCTCTCCTTCCAGTACTGCGCTGCAGCGTTAGCTCAAAGTCCCCCCAAAGTTGGGGCTCAGAACCTACAACCTTCTGACTCAAAGGTGATAGAGCCAGAACCCGAGCCAGTGGTTGAGCTCAAACCTATGAGAAACATCCAGGTTTAGACCTGACCAGGATGGGTGATCAGTATTTTGCAACTCCAGGAAGTGACACACATCCCCCAGGAATTTCATCACCAAACCGCTGAATTGCGGGGGACGGGATGGGGAGAATGGGCAGCAGGGGGAACGGTGTCAGGATGGTTTATTATAGGGGAGGCCGGAGGAGGGGGTGGGGGTGTAGTGTGTGGTCAAACTTGTGATGTGATGTTCGTCACCGGTGATAATTATTGCATCCCGGGACGCTTTGCCCCATCCGTCCAGGCAGTGTCTGCCTGTGTGTATGTGTGGGGTGTAGGGATTGCAGGGGGGTTGGTGGGTGTGGTGGGGTGGTTATGTGACGGTGTGTGGGGGTGGTGGGGGGTAGTCTACGTTGTCAGAGACACTGCTGTGCGGATTCTCGCAGTTGTTTTATTAAATATTAGGTGTGTGTATGTCTGCGTTGCACAACGACAGGGTGGAAAATTGTGAGACCTTGCGTGTGCTGACGGATGGGCCCTAATGGACCCTTTGATAAAACGGGGGAACTTGCTCTGTTTTACCTTTTCCTCAATCTTGTGGCTGAGGTGGCAGAGAGAGCTGAGCGTGACCACTGGTCGGGGAATGACATAGGTGGAAATGGCATTGCATTCTGTAGCTCCCTATTTGTCTCAGCCTTTGGCTGCCGCGTTTCGCCCACTAAATGTACAGTCAATTCATTTGCACTGTATTCTCTGAGGCGCTTTGAGACGTCTCGAAAAGACGCTGTATCAAATGCAAGGATTTTTACTAGTATTATTATTATTATTAGCCTGTGCCTCAGACGGTTGCACTCAAGCCTCTGAGAATATAGGAACAGGAGGAGGCCAGTCAGGCCTTTGAATGAGATATTGGCTGTCGTTTTCCCCTACAAAATAGACACTTGACAGTGAATCCTGCGATGGTCTGGTTTTCCTTGGGACCTCTGTCAAGCATTGCCAAGGCTGAAAACTGGCCTTAGAAACCGCAGCACAAATATACATTAAGTGGATTGAAGCTCTCTTCTTCCCTATCCAGCCCAATGTGCCTCACAGCTGCCCTTTGATCATACAATGCTTCCAGCTGTGTCCAAATTGCCTCCAGGATTGGTCTGGCCTACAAAACAGGTTGGAGGGAGTGGAGGGCTTGAACCCAAAACCTTCTGACTCAAGAGACGAGAGTGCTACCAACTGAGCCAGGCTCATAAGAATAATCCTTGCATTTGATTATGTCTTTGAAACGTCTCAAAGTGCTTCACAGAGTATATTGTAAAGTGAATTGACTATATATTTTCTGGGCGAAAAGTGGCAGCCAATTGCACAAACAGCAGTGGTCCCACAAACAGTCCTGGATTGAGTGACCAAATTATTATTATATATACTTTTTGTGATAATGCATTGGAACTGAGACTGAACTCAACTGCCAGTGAGGGTCTAAATCTACAATCCGCTGATCCAGAGGAGAGAGAGAGAGAAAGAGAGTGACTGAGCCAAAGGGGTGTGTGTGTGGCGGGGGTGGGATTATAAACTCCGTTGGAAACACAGAATGAAGTGCTCCCTGGCTTAAGCAGGATCAAGCCATCTCCCCGTTTCCCCTAGTCCTGACCTCAGGCCTGCGTTACACACACAGATCTGCTTCTCATCTGATGCACAGCACAAGCCGTTGTGGGCACATGTGATAAACATTCTGTCAGTGTATAACTCATGTATACAGTGCGAAGCCAGGAATGTAATGTCTGATGTGATGGGCTCCATCTGACTCCCAGCCCATCTGGTAATGTTTAAGACAATGTGTGTTGTCGCAACGAAAGCACCAGCGACTGCCACATTTTTACATTCGTAGAGTCCTGTGGCTCAGTGGTTAGAACACTCGCCTCGCAAGTGACAGGACGCAGGTTCGATTCCCGGGCAGGTGAAATGTTGGGCAAGTTTCCTTTCGCCACACACACATCTCGCAGTAAGTAGGAACCCGGTTGTTAGTCCAGCAAGTCACAAACTCACCCAGCAATCACTCAGTCACACTTTACGGTGAATCCTGTGAAGCGCTTTGAGACGTCCTCCCGCCGTGCAAGGCGCTGGGTCAGATGTAAGGATCATTATTATCGTCATTATAAATTGTCCCTCTCAGTGTGAACCGAGTTCACTGATCTGCTCAGAGGATTGACGGAGTGGGATATAATAATGGTGATTGACGGAGTGGGATGTAATAGTAATACACTTCATTTATACATTATGTAGCAGTAAAAATTATGTACATTGCATTTGATATAGCCCCTCATCAGGTCGTTGAGACGTCTCAAAGCCTTTCACAGGATACACTGTAAAGTGTGGTGACTGTGTGTTTGGTGGATGAAGTTGTGACTTACTGAACTAACAACCAGGTTCCTACTTACTGTGAGAGAGGAGTGTGTGTGGAGTGACTGTGGGTGAAATGAGGCAGTCAGTTGGGCACAGCAGTATCCCACAAACAGTCGTGTCCCACAAACATGTTGAGTGAAGCGTGTGGTGAAGGTTTAGCTGAATAACGTTCCGTGAGAGAGTTTACAGTTTCCTTTATGGACTGGGTTTGCAGTGTGTAAAAGTGTCTGCTCAAATCACACGTTTAGCAACCTGGAGTGCACATGGTTACCATCTGGGCTTCATTGTCACAGAATGGCATTGGTAAACAGCAGCAACAAAAAAACCTCTCCACGTCTCTTGGAACATTGGTAGATGAAAAAAGGAGGTGATGCAGAGAGTGGGAGAGTGACAGTGATAGATATAGACAGTGAGAGAGACAGAAAGAGACAGTGTGAGAGAGAGAGAGTGACAGAGGGAGAAAGAGAGAGAGAGAGAGTGACGGAGAGGAGAGTGACAAAAAGGGAGTGAGAGAGCCAGAAAGAGAGGGGGAGTGACAGAGAGGAGAGTGGCAGTGAGAGGGGGAGTGGCAGAGAGAGAGGAGATTGACAGTGAGAGAGAGAGTGAGAGCCAGAGAGTCCGAGGCAAATTGAGAGAGACACCGAGAGAGTCAGAGATTGCGATAGAGTCAGTGAGAGACACAGACAGTGAGTGAGTGAGAGAGAGAGAGAGAGAGAGAGAAAATTAGAGAGGTTCAGACAGTAAGAGAGTCAGATACTCAGGTGGAGTGAGAGCGCGAGAGAGACCGACAGTGAGAGACAGAGATTGAGTTAGAGACAGAGAGAATCACAGACAGAGAGCGAGGGGAAATTTTGCCCGCGATCGATTGGGAAACAGAATTACAGGTGGTTTTTTTATTATCAATATTGTTATTACTATCCTTTTTAAGTGGAAAGAAAGTCTCCAAAGAGTCGCTTGAAGTTGGGTTAAAACAGTGAAGCGATTCCAGTGATTCCGATTAACTTGGGAGGCTGTTCGCTTAAAGTGATCCAACGTTGAATTTGAAAGTAATTGTTTGCCGGTTTAAAAATCAAACTCTGGCAGATCAAACATCGGCTTTAACGGGGGATTTGGACTTTGACTGAATTGGACATTTGGGAAACTTGTGTCTTAAGTATTTTTTTGTGTGTGGGTGTCTGTGGTGTGTCTGTCTGTCTGTCTGTCTGTCTGTGTGTCTGTATGTACAGGAGTGCGGAGTCACTCTCTCTCTCTGACACGGAGTTGGGACGTCCTCCCGACATGAAAGGCGCTACGCAGATATAATTTTGTATTGTGTGTGTGCTGTGTGTGGGTGTCTTGATTCTCAATTTAGTTTAAATCTTACTGATTCACTGTATTACTGTCTGTGGAGTCCTGCAGCTCCGGGGCTGGAGGTTGGGATCAGGAGGGGGGGGTGAAGGGCAGGGACGGTGGGGGTAAGGGGGTGTGGGGGTGTGGGTGACTGAAGGTGCAGTCGAAAAGAAGGGTCTTGAGACAGGCCCTTGAAGGAGCCAAGGGAGGGAGGGAGGGGGCGCGAGGTGAAGGGACTGTGGGATGGAGTTCCCAGAGCAACACCAGGAACGTTCAAACAGGATGGCTTTAATGTATTGTGTCTCTTACACAGGATTGCTCAGTGGGTGAGGATGAAGTGTGCTGCTCTGCCGGCTCTGGCTCTGGCTCTGGCTCTGGCACTTGCTTTAAGTCTCGAAACGGCACAGTGTAAAGAGCAACGGGTGACAGACAACTGGAAATGGAACTACAGAGAAGGAGGTAATGGAGGGCGATTGGTGTCACGGCTGAAATCCCATCCAGTCTCAGCCTCTTGCACCGTCATTATCGTCTTAACATTTAAGAGCGAGCCAGGGAGCGAGCGAGTGAGTGAGTGAGTGAGCCAGGGAGGGAGGGTGCGAGAGAGGGATCGAGGGAAAGAGTGAGGGGCAGAGAGAGGAGTGCAGCTGCACTCTCTCTGACCGTGAGTGAGGGAGGGAGCGAGAGGAAGGATGAGCGAGGAGCAGAGAGGTGAGTGCGGAGTCACTCTCTCTCTGACACGGAGCGAGGGTTAGGCTCTGTTTGGAGCTCCGTGGACAGTAATGGCTGTTTTCACAGTTGACCGGGTGAATATCCAGGGAGTGCGGAGTGTTTCCCGTGTCCTCGACCACTGGGGGAACAGGATCTTCAACACAATGAGGGACACCATCATCAACCACCCCCAGGACGTGCTGCCCGACTACTCCAGGTACACACCCGCTCTGCACCCCTCCACGCTCATGTGTACTATTCCAGGTACGGGAGGAGTGTAATGCACTTAAGAGAATGTAACAGCCAGTGTTTCCCTCTCTGCACTACAATAATAATCCTGACATTTGACACAGCACCTTTCACGTCGGGAGGACATCTCACAGCGGTTCACGGGACATGACTGTACAGTGGAGTGACTGTGTGTTTTGTGCGGGAACGCAAACTGCCGTGAAGTGACTGAGCAAGCTAGCAAGTGATTTGATTTGTCTGGGGGATTGTCAGTCAGAGAATGAGCTGTGCACCCTCTCACTCTCTCTCCGTCCATTTCCCTCCCTCTCCCTCTCTCCCTCCATCCCCCTTCTCTCTCCCTATATCTCCTTTCCTCTCCCCCTCCCACGCTCTCTCTCTCTCTCTCAACGCAGGATCAGGCCACTCTCTGAAGCCCTGGATGATTTGTTCCGGGAGGTGAAGACCCTGAAAAAACACCTGTTGTTGCTGAACGAGCGGTTGGGGGGTCTCGAGAGTGACCTGACCTCGGTGGGCTTCGGCAAACCCCTGAAGGTGAAGCGGGTGGTGATGAGGAGGGTCCCACAGAGAGCCGGGGGCAGGATTCTGTCCAGGAGAATGAGACTCCAACCCAGACAGAGGGGGCGGGGGGCATATCGCACCTCCCAGCGCCAGCCCAGGGCCTCCCCAGGCACACGGGAGAGGATCGTGCCACGCAATTCCACCTATACTTAGACGGCGGATCTTAAAATGGTAGGAAAGAGAAACGGTCGAACGGCTAAGACTAGGCGGAATTCAGGGCCTCTTGTTTGTGGGAGCGAGTTTCACACGCGCTCCTCCCACCCCCCCACCCCCCCACCCCCCCCACCCCCCACCCCATCCATCCGAGGGGTGCAGTGCGTCACCACCACGATGGTGACCAGAGAAAACACCAGTTTGTGAGCTTTGTTTTTTTCCATCTTTCATTAAACGTTTTTAATCCGAATAGAAAAAGTGTCACTTTCTCTCCCTCTCTCCCTCCCTCCCTCTTTCTCTCCCACTCCCTCTCCCCCTCCCTCCCTCCCTCCCCACAATCAGGCTCCAGCAGGCAGTACCTATGTGAACGAGATGCTCCTGTGGCCAGTGAAGAGTTAATCTTGCGTGTGAGTGCGAGACCGCGGGGGACGCTGACCCCCTCCCTGGTTGGCTCCACCTGTTACAGATGTTAACCAGACTCGGGCTGATTTATCACCCATCTGGAGCCCGGAGGCTGAGGAGCCTCTGGTTACATACCACACTGCTGACGTCTCCCCATTCTCTCCCCCTCCACCCCGCCAGACAGCTTCCTCTCCCCCCCCCCACACCACCCCGGCAGCTTCTCACCCTCACCCTCACCCCCACCCCCCCCCACCACCCAATCAACACCCGCCCCCCACCCAGCTCCGGCCTCGCTGCAAACCGGGCAGGTGGGGGTCTCACGGTGTGTGCGGTCACTCCGGGGGCTCCTGCCTGACCAGCCAGACCTCGTTCCTCCTCCCCAGAGGCTTCATGGGGGGGTCGTAGCCGGCGCACAGGAAGTGTTCCCGGTGATAGGCCGCCTGCTCCCCCAGCGCCGCGCACAGATTGCCGGCGTGTTCCACCCAGTCCGCTTCTTTAGCGTAGCCTCCGAAATGCCTGCGGGAGCCAAGGGCACATCAGCGACACGCCTCAAACACGCCACCGCGTCTGTGTGTCTCACCTCACCCGTCAGATCCCTGCCCCACCCCCCCCCCACACCGCCCCCCTCGCCCATACACTGTAATAATAATAATCCTTGCATTTGGTACTGCGCCTGATCACGTCATCGAGACGTCTCAAAGAGCCTCACAGGACAGACTGTAAAGTGTAGTGACTGTGTATTTTGAAGGCGAAATATATATAAAGGAACACAGGAACAGGAGGAGGCCATTCAGCCCATTGTGTCCGCTCCGGCTCCTTGATCTGTATCTCGACTGAGCGCGGTGACACTCACGTGGAGTAGACGGTGAAGCCCTCCTGGTGCTGGACGGTGATGCTCTGGTCCGTGGGCCGGGGCGGCTCCTCCTGGTATTTGCTGGGGATGCGGATCTGCACGAGGACCCCGGGCTGTAGGCCGCCCTGGTCACCGCGGTGGGCACGGATGGTGACCGGAGCCGTCATCCCCATTCCCACACCTGGCAACGAGAGGAGGAGGAGAAGGTGCTCACAGCCGGGAAGAGACTGGGACACATTCCCGCCCCCCCCGCCCCCCCACCCTTCTCCCCGCACAGAACCCTGCTCCCTGGTGATTTTATCTGTGGGGGTGGGGGTGGGTGCGGTTGTCAGCCAGGACACTAAGAGAGAGGAACATTCCTTCTCGTTTCCTGACCGCGTCGCAGAAGGACATCCGCCCGAACAGGGCACGGACCCCACCCACCCCCCACCTCTCCCTCCGCACAGTGCTGGGCCATCAGCCTGGACTGTGAGCTTAAAGTGTGTGTATATGTGTGCGGGTGTGTCTGTAAATGTGTGTGTATATGTATGCATGAGTGTGTATGTGTGAGTGTGTATGTATGTGGGTGTATGTATGTGTGTGGGTGTATGTATCAGTGTATGTGTGAGCGTGTATGTGTGTGTATGTATGTGTGAGTGTGTATGTATGTGGGTGTATGTATGTGTGTGGGTGTGTGTGTATGCGGGTGTGTGCGCTTGAACCCAGTTAAGCTGAACGCCCAACTTGGTTCAGGCGCACACACTGAATTCTCTCCAATTCCAGATGCAAACTCTAAGATGCGTCTGAGTTGAGTGAGTGTAACCCCATTCCCCCCAATCCCAGCAGATGAGCTCAGCGACACCTTGTTCGTTGCTGCCGCCCACGTACTTCAGCAGTTTTAACACCCCCTCCCCTGAGGCCTCGTCGAATGGTTTCCCGGTGACTGTCACACTGGCATATTTTGCCGGCTCGTACTTCCGAACTTCGTAGCTGAAGTCTCCCTGTGACGGAAGAGAAACAGCTCATCAACACTTCACGGTGACACACACACACAGTGTATTGATGTGGATATGTCCCTTTATCAATATATATATATGTGTGCACACATATATATATATATGCACAATATATATGTGATATATTGCCTCTCGCCCGTCAAGGCATCTCAAAGCACTGCACCGGCCTTTACTGTAAAGTGCAGTCAATGACTTGTGTGTTTTGGAGGCGAACCCAACAGCCGTGAAGTGAACGTGTCATTTTATCTGGGACCGGGGTGGGGGGGAGAGGGAGATTCCCTTTTCACAGACCTTGTGCGTGTTTCTGTGTGTGTGTGTGTATGTGTATGTATGTGTATGTACGCGTGCGCCCCAAAACTCTGGAACACGCTTCCTCTATCCCTCTGCCTTGCCCCTTCCTTCCCCATCTTCAGACCTTCCTCTTCGACCATTCCGATGGTCACCTCCAACCCCCCGCCGGCTCGCCATCGTTCTCCGCCACTGTCAAGCGCTCTGGAACGCTATCCTGCCTGAGGGGCGCTGTGTTGTTATTGTTATTGTGTGTGGGCGTATGTGTGACCGATCACCGGGATGGATTGCAGGATTGCTGTGTTCGTCAGACTTGGATCTGTAGCTGTTTGGTCAAGCGAGTGCTTCAAACACTCACAAACCCCAGAAGTGTTTGTTTCTGTGGAATCTGTGAATTACTCAGATCAGAGGCCACTCTGCCAACTTCAGCAACGTGTAACAGTTTGATGTGGGGGAAGTGGTTCAGGCACAAGTGAACCAATCTGACCACGGAGAGAGGAACCGTAAACCATGAAAGGTTTCAAGAGGAACCCGATCACGTCGCTGACAACGAACTGCCCCGGAACGAGCGGAGTGTGGCTTTTGAGGAATTGGAAGGGTCGGCAAGTAGGATGGTCCATTCAGCCATTTTATCTGGGGATTGTCAGCCAGGATAATGATATTAATAATGATAATAATGATGATTATAATCCTTGCCTTATCACATCCCAAAGCTCTTCACAGAATATACTGTAAAGTGAATGGACTGTATGGTTTGTGGGCGAAATGCGGCAGCCAATGGCGCACAGCAGCGTCCCAAATTATTATTTTTATTACATTTTTTTGGTGGGTTTATTATCCCGGAAAAGCGATCCGCCAACTTGCTGCTCGGGAAACCGAGTCATGTGAAGTAAGGAAAATTGCTTAACGTTTCATCCCACACCCGGGAATCAAACCCGGGTCCTCTCGACACCAGGAGAGGGAACACCCCTTCTCTTTACCAACAGCGCTGTGGGCGATCTTTTAAATCTTTAACGTCTGCCTGAACGGGGCACAGACTGGGAGTGAGGTTTATTGTTTAATCCAAAGGATAGCATCTCTGATAATGTACCTGTGCCCACCCCCCACCCCCCCACACACCCCCAACCCCCCACCCCCAGGCACTGCAATGGAGCATCAGCTTAGGCTATGAACTCACAAAGTCCTTGACGCAGGGGAACTGGAACCCACAACCTTCTGACTCAGAGGCCGGAGTGTGACCGACTTGACCCAATCGATACAAAACCCTGACGTCCTGCTGATAATATACAGGAACAGGAGGCCATTCAGCCCGTGAGTCTGTTCCGTCCGTTTCAAGCTCTGCAGCTCTCGCAATTCAGAGTTCCTGACTGTGTAGAGTGTTCTGCCAACATGAAAAGCGCTATACTAACATCATCTGTTATTGTTCTGTTCAACATGAGCATCTAATATATCGGTGAATAGGTTGAACTTAGTAAGAACTCCCCCTTTTACGTACTCGACGGTGTCAGAAATTGGGTCGGATTCAGAAAGAACCTCTGACGGGAGACAGAGAATCGGGAGTGTTTTGTACAGCTCTGTTGCCCTCCGGTTGACAGTTAGGGTCAAAGAACTTGAGGGGGGGAAAAAATAGCAATTTCACAATAGAGTATTTACATAAGAACATAAGAATTTGCTGGCAAGAGAAGACCAAGGTCCTTCCAATCGCCTTCAACCATCCTGGCCGTCACTCGGCATGTCGTGTCCCAAATACAAACTGTATCCCCCAGACCTTATTTCCTAACAGAAATCTATCTAATCTCCTCAACTCGGGCAGTAAAAATAACACAACTCCATCAAACGTTCGGTCCCTGACCATTGCCAACTGGAGTGATTTATACTTTTCTTCGAATCCATTACATTTTGCGCCTTTTCTTTTATCTGTAAAAACAGCCCCAGTTTATCATGGACACCACTTGGCCAACTACCCCCCTACCCCCCCCCCCCCCACCCGCCGATCAGCCGCTCGTACTTGATTACAACAACTTGCGTTTACACAGCGCCGTTCATGTAGGATAACATCTCGGAGCACTTCAGAGGGTCAGTCGCTGAGTGGGGGAGAGAATTAGGCTTAAAAGCCTTTGTAAGCCTAACGGAAAATGCCACAAAAGGTCCAGATTGAAACCAAGAAGAAGAGCTCACTGCGCAAACGCCCAAAGCCGCGGCCTGACACTTGGAAAGTCCGTGTTTACTTCCAGTTCGGACTGCGAAGCGAGGTTCTAACCTTGGTTTCGGAGCTGAGGGTCTGACAGGGTCTGATCTCAGTGCCACCAAACAAGGAATTTCTTATCATCCCAAACATGACGAGGGCTTTTCCTGGTCTTTAACACACTCACGACATCGAACGTCTCTGTTCCTGGGCGGCGGTTTGCTTCTCCAGCTCTGAGCTCCTCACACACTGATCACATGCCTTTAAAACCCAATAAAACCGGCTGAACAAGGTTCAGGATCTTCCTCCAATTGGGCCATTCAATTGCTGGGAGGTTCTCGTTCTGACCCCCCAAAAAACGTGCAGATCATCTGCGTCTGGTGCCTCTTCCTGTTTGTGATGTCCTGTGTGGGCGCGAG